ATCAGCTGGCCGGCCCTCGCCTTCCCACAGCGGCGCCGCTCCGAGCGCATGAGCGGCGGGGCCTATGTCGTGGGGGCGGTACCTCGGTCGGCGGGTGGGCGGGGACTTACGGCGGAAGGGGCGTGCCTGGTGGGGCGGGGTTTCAGCCGAGGGGGCAGGGCCTGCGCAGGCCGGGGCTTGTTTCCGCGGCGGGCGGACGAACGGCGCGTGCGCCATGCTGGCCCCGACCCTGGGGTCAGGGCTACACCCACGCACCTACCTGCGCGCCTGCGGGCGGTGAGCGTGAGCCAGTGTCCAGGAAGGCGAAGGCGGGCGGCGACGGCGACCTGAGACAGCGGGAGGGTCTGCGCCGACAGCACGCTCGGCGCAGGGGCGAGTGGCCTGCCCGGCGCGAAGGGCTCGGCCCCGCCGGTGGCCCGGCCGTTCGGGGTCCTCACTCCCCACACCGTACGGCCCGGAGCCCTGGTTCGGCCTCGCCCCCCCTCCGCCCCCCGCCCCGCGTCCTGCCTGTGACCCGCTGTGTGACCTTGAGCAGGTCTCTTGCCTTCTCACGTCTCCCGGCGACTCCGCCCTGTGCGACCGGCAGGGCGGCAGGGGCTCAGAGGCCGTGGTTAGCGCTCCTGGCAGGAGAGAAGGGTGGGCCTTCGTCCGAGCACAGTGGTGGCTGAGACCGGACCTCTGGGGTGTCTCCAGGAGGTGAGGCTGGCGGTCAGGGGACCGGCCCTTGGAAGGGGCCCTGCCTCGCCCTCCAGCCTTCCATCCTGGGGGCCAGCAGGGGTCCTGACCCAGGCCCACAGGCCCACTGGCCCACTGGCCCCCGCATCAGACCCGCCCTGCCGCCCCAGCTCAGGGGGCAGCTCTGAGGCCGGGCGTCTGCACGGCCTACACCCTGGTCGTCTGCGTGGGCTTGTTTCAGACGAGATGGTTCATTAAAAGGGTAAGGGCAGGCAAACGCTCCTCACCCGTGGGAGGGGTCACTGGGGCTGGGAGAGGCCTTAGGGACCCTGTGGTCCACAGTTCCCCCACTTGAGTCTCCAGGCCCTGAGCTTTGTGCAGGTGGTGAGAAGGGGTCAGATGGGAAAGAGCCACCTGCCACCTGTGTGCTCACTCTTGGCCTGGGGGCAGGGGCATTGAAGAGGGGGCTCCATGCTGACCAGGCCCTGCAGTGGGCCCTGAGGCCAGACAAATGCATGACAGGGATGGGGTGGTGGCTCTTTTAGGTGGAAAAGGGAGAGGCATTGGGAAGAAACCCGAAGGAGGTAAGAATGTAAGCCTCCTGGACATTCCTGGGGTTGGGTGTTGGGGGAGACATCAGGAATGTGGCCCCTGAGCGCCAGGCCAGGGCCTCCATGCAGTTTCTGGGCCTGGTGAGCCCTGTCCTATACAGGTTTTAGAGCCGAGCCAAGCCACCTGTCACCGGGACTGGCGGGGAAGAGTCCCCCTGCAGCCACCTGGAAGAACTGGAGTCCCGGCATAGCTGGTGCAGGGAGCAGGGCCAGCGATAGACGGGGGCGGGGGGCACGGCGATGTGGGCGCCCAGGCCGCTTCCATGGGCATCCACACCGCCATCCTTTAATCCCCTCCAAGAGTCAAGCGGTGCTGGCCAGGTTCCCCAAGGACAAGTGGCTCTGTGATCCAGGACGGAGCAGGACATAGACACCTGGGGGCACCTGTGTGGGGGAGGGGAGCTGGGTCTTCTGCTGTAGCCCGTCTGGACCCGTGATGACCACCTCAATTCACCAAGGTCACTTTTGTGTTTGTCAGAAGCCTTTGGACTGATTAAGTTGTATCCCCCTGCCCCTCAGCCCTTATTTGGATATTTACTGAAGGTTTCCAGTGGATCAAGAGAGGTAGTCTGTGCCCCATTAATGTCTCTCACTGGATTTAATGATTTCACATAAAACTGAAAAGCATCTCAGAACCCTCCTGCAACCGGGGACAAAGTTGTGGGGATGGAGTTACAGACCAGAGGTCCTTGCCAGCTCTTGCTGGCTCCCATGCTCCGGGCTCCTGCCGCTGTGGCTGTCCCGTCAGGAGGGCTTGGCCCACACTAGTGCCCTTTGTCAGGCCCTGCATGGATTAGCCCGAGGGAGGGAAGGTGCTAGAACCGAACTTTTCGGATCGGGAGGCTGAGGCGCAGAGCAAAGGGACTCGTCCCACCCCGGTGCTCATCCTCCCTCTGCCGGAGCCTTGTTAGGAGTGAGGACGAGCCCCGCCAGCCCGTGACCCCGCCCAGAGCAGCCAGGAGCAGCAGAAGGGGCACACCGGCCTCGGCTTCACTGCAGACCCGTCTCCCCTGGCATCCTCTGGGTTTGATCTTTGCTCTGAAGCCGTTTCTTCACGTTCACCTTGTTTGCCACCCAGGAAGGTGGACATAACTGAGACCACAAACGGCTCCCCCCACCCCCGCAATTAAACAGCCCTTCCCTCTGTGTTCTCGCCTCTCAGAACGAGCCGTGGGAAGTCAGAGGCAGTTCCAAGGGTCTGCCTAGAAACCCTACCGGCCCATCCAGGCCATAGGTCAGTGTTTGCCACCACCCTGTGCGCAACAGGGCTGCCAGTGGTCACTACACAGCAGGGGTCCACTTTGCTTCGGTTCCCAGTGTTCTCACCCGTCCTGGGCAGCCTCCTCCAGGCCCCGAGGCGCCCCCTGCCCCCCCTCACAGCTCTTGTCTTTCTCAAACAGGCTCCAGCCCACGCCTGCTGCCAAGCCTCTCCCATGTCTGAGCACCGCTGGGGTTCCGTACACCATATTCCTACCCCAGGGCCTTTGCACTTGCTGCCCTCTGGGGTGAATGCCCCCACCCTGCCCCGGCAGCACACCTCTGCTCACACACCACCTAACAGGGCATCTCCCAGCCGCCCCCTGCCCTGCTTCACTGCCCTCCTACCCTGTAACCTGACACCATATTTACTATCTTCTGTCCCCAAGAGCGTGAGTGCAGACTTTGGGGCACCCTGTCTCCTGTGTGTCTCAACATCCACAAGGCTGCCTGACACACTACGAGCTCAACACATGTGTGAAGCCAACAGGAAGGGCTTCTGGCCTTTCAAAGCACCTTGAACAAAGTGACCGATGCCCACCCCTTGCTTACAGGGAGCTCAGCATCACTTCCAAGGGGATGTCCACAGGGCACGAGCTGCCAGGGGCTACGCACGCCGCTGTGGGTGGGGCAGCCCCTCAGGCGGGCAGTCGGCTCTGGCGTGGACTGCCCGGCCCTGATCTATCTTGGGACACAGGGAAAGGCCCTGTCACCCCAGCTGCCAACCAAGCAGCAAGCCGAGGCCCCTGGCTTCCTACTAAGTCTGTGGGCACACACTCCCTTTAACCAGGAAAGCCTGGGTCCAGGGAAAGCATACACCGGGCCCACCGCTGACACCAGGTCTGGACCCGGCTCCAGCCCGACCAAGACCCCAGGCCAGAGCTGCAAACCTATCAAAATGTAGGGCTCCTCGCCGGGCGGGGCCACAAGCCCGGGTACGATGCTCCCACCACTGCATGCCACCTTCCCTGGGCACAAGCCAAGGGCAGGAATCACCACAGCAGGCAGCCTATCTGGCAAGGTAGTAAGTCAGTTAAAGAAGGTCCTTTTTATTTTTATAATGTCATTCCATACAAAAGCAATAGAAACATAACAGTCTTAACAAGAAGTTTACAATTGAATATTTGAACAGAAAATCTGTACACATTATCATTTACAGCAATTGTACACGGTAAATTAACTGACTATAAAAAAATGTTCTTTCTAAACCCTTCTGCTGTCTTAACTGTTGGAGTAGTATAGGTAGAAGGGCTCCTGAGTGCTATTTACAAGTACCAAATTAAGACCGTATAACTTACATAAACCCCGTTAACCTACCAGCTCAATTTAGTATCTGACTATTCAGTGCTCTGTACGAGGAAAAAAACCCATCTTGACATACTGAGAAACGGCCCAAACCCTAACCCTTTCCATAAAGATATTAAAGGTATCTGATTATGAGAACACTCGGCCAGATACCAGTAAAGAAAGCCCCATGAACATATGCTTAAACCCAAACCAGCCCTCTGACAAGTAGCAATTAACGCCTAAAAAACTTGTGGAAAACCAGTTATGGTACACTTGTCAGGTTAACTTCAAGGATGCGGAGATTAAGCAATTAAGATTGTTGTAAGATTGCCTCGAGTTCAATTTTCCTCGGATTTAGTTCCATTTACAATTTAAAACATGCAAAATACATTCCCTATACACAAAATTAACGTTTCTTAAGAAAATAAGGCAAGAACATCAATTCACCAAGAGACTGTACACTGTGAACAGAAACCCCCAGTTACAAAGGCAGGACGCATGCTTGGTGGGCCACCCCACCTGGGGAGGTAGCGCTGCTCCCAGGGGCCTCCAGGTGGCGCCGGTTAGCTCATGGCTGAGAAGTCTTTCAAGGGTTCAGTTAAACAGGCTTCCAAGTCAAACTCATCCCCCGCATGGCAGTCCACGTGCCTAACTTTCGTAGGGGTGCCACAGTACATGTCCTAGAAAACAGAAGCACGGTCACAGCCGGTCCCTCGGGCACACTGGACTTGCTGCTGGAGGTGCTGAGCAGGGCCGCTCCCCCCAGGAACACAGGACACGCCTGTGAGAGCATCCAGCAGATACTGACCGCCAAGCTTCCCTTCAGCCGGATCTGTCAAACTCCCCCCCCCCACCCCCGCCCCATTAGTGACCAAGTGACCTTTAAGGCCCCTGAGCCACAGCCGCTCACACCTAACAGGAGCCACTGTGTGGACGGGATGCGCCACCGTGGCTTGTGAAGCAGAATCACGTCACACCGCTGAGCACTTGGCGCTGGCGCTGGGCTGAGGACCGCCCCACCTCACCCCCAAAACGGGCCAAAGGGTTCAACCTGAATCTAATCCTCAAGGAGCCAGTACAACAACTCCCAACTGAGGAACATCCTGCTTCATAAAAACGGGCCCGAACCCTTCCAAAGAGGTCAACGTTCTGGGTGAAAAGCAGGAAGACTATTCTAAACTAAAGGAAATTTAAGAGACATGGCAATTAAATGTGTAATCCTTGATTAAATTCTGGGCCGAAAAAGAGAAAAAAAGACCTGTGACAAGGACATTATTGGGACAACCGGGAAACCTGAGCGCGGCCTGGTTACGAGGTAGCCGTGTTTTACCACGGCTGCGTTTCGTGAGCGCAGCAGTGATGCTGTGGTAGTGGCCAGTGCCCGGCGGCGAACGTGCTGCCCCCCGGTGCCTCGGGCTCCACTTCGCCTCCCAGCCTTCTCTCCTGTCCCCCGAACGTCCCGCCGGCTCCCACCTCTCCTCGGTGCCCCAGGACCCCCCACCAGGACCGCTGCCTCTGATCTTCAGGGCCTGGCCCCCGACCCACCCATGCAGTCACCACCCCCTAACTTCTGTGACCACGAGCGGCACATTCAGAATCGGCTTCTTGAGCTGGGACAACCGTCACTCTTAATCCACACCAAGGATACCACCCGCTGAGATCGTCATGGGTTTTAGTCCTGCCTGTGTATAAATATCCATAAAACTGGGATCATCCTATGGTTAAGTATCCTGTTTTTATTTATCTTGACGATTTTCCACGTTATTAGTCTTCAAAAACAACCTGTAGTAGCTGTATTCCTTATGAATGTAATTTTGCCATTCCTCTCTTTTGGACATTAGTGTTACTTTTTTTTTTTTTTTTTGGCCATGCAGCTTGCAGGATCTTAGTTCCCCGATCAGGGATTGAACCCAAGCCCGCTGCAGTGGAAGCACTGAGTCCTGACCACTGGACCTCCAGGGGAGTCCCTGTGTTACTTCTAACACCTCGAATAGTCAAAGAGTACGTGGGACGCAGATGGTACCCAAGACTGGCAGGGCACGTGCCAGGCTTATGAGGGTGACGCAGATGGAAGGCAGGCAGGAAAAGGCAACTGCGCACTTTCATTTTATATGCTCCTGACCTGTTCAGATACAGTACAGGTTGATCTTCTATAAAGCATGAGTTTTTCAAACAAATATTTATGAGTTCTAGTTTTTAACCTATTTTTTTACTTAATGCGCAGAACATTTCCACATGTAAATATTGGGGCCGTCTCCTTTAAAATAACAAAGGGATCCTTTTACCGTAAACTGCTGCTGTGTATTTGGCTTGTATACATGCAGAGAAGTCTGGAAGAATGTGCACCCAACCACTAACTAGAGAATTAGAGATGAGGCAATTCTGTACATCGCTTTTCATCTTTGGAGGTTTTTTTCTTCCGAAAACATGTAATTTTTTAAAATTGGCAAATGTGGGGAAAACCCTAGGCCCAAAGCATTCCTCCACTTATAACAACTAGCAGATGATTCCTATACTAGCAATTCACCAGAACAAACTAGACAGCCTAAAATTAAAAATAGTGACAAAGCCTGTGAACCAGAGAAGAAAAGGCCTTTTACTTTTTTTTTTGCGGTACGCGGGCCTCTCACTGCTGTGGCGTCTCCTGTTGCAGAGCACAGGCTCCGGACGCGCAGGCTCAGCGGCCATGGCTCACAGACCCAGCCGCTCCTCGGCCTGTGGGATCTTCCCGGACCGGGGCATGAACCCGTGTCCCCTGCATCGGCAGGCGGACTCTCAACCACTGCGCCACCAGGGAAGCCCAAGGCCTTTTACTTTTAAATGAAAATGGTAGTACTGATTAGTTGGATCGAACCCAAAATCTAAAATAAGGCCACTACCTACGAACTGCATCAAATCTGACATTTCAATAAAGTCAGAGAAAGGGGTAAGGAGCCCCTTTTTCATAAGCATCAGAATCAAATTTCAGCTTAAACTTCAGTTTTCAGAGGGGCATATGTTGTCAACAATTAACCTATAACACTCACGCGGAGAGATAAAACCAAGGAAAGGTACTTACGAAGTTATCCTGAGAGCTCGTCCGGGACTCAGAGCTGCTCTCCGCAGATTCCGTCTCCATCTCCCCGAGGTCTACAGGACGTCTGTGCGGTCAGAACAAGCACATCAGTCACCACGGAACAGAGCCAGGAGAAGGCAAACGCCACCACGGCCACGCTGCCCGTGAGTGCTGACACGCATCTCCTCTGCTCCCTGAGGGACCCACCAGCTTTCAGCGTCTCCCCGTGTGCCAGACGGACCCTCTGCCCGATCACCTCGCAGAGGTAAAGCAGGCCCTGCAGGCGAACAGGTCCACCTGGCTCAGAGCGCACAGCCACCTGCCCACTCTTGCCCATGGCCCACTATCTGTACACACCCACAGGCATCCTTCTAAGTAGGAGCGTCAATAAGAGAGCCCAGTTTTGCGGGGAGACAGACACCGTGACAAGCCATACTACACATCATCACTCATCTGTCCAATTTCCTACCCAGAGACAGAATGGGACAATAGTGACACCGGGAAAAAAAAATCAGTGTGTGTCTGTGAGGCCAAACTTCTTTCTAATAAATTTCCCCAGCACAAAGCAGAAACTCCAACACTTGAATGAATAAATGTGTCTCTGAGGGCGGGAGAGGCTCAGGTCGAGGGAGCTGAGAAGAGAGGCCGCACAGTCTCTCCACCTCTGTGCTCAACCAGCATCCCGACCACGTGGCAGAAACTCAGGCCTGAGACCTTTCCAACTAGACACAGTTTACAAAAGACAAAAGCCTTCCTTAGATTATAAAAAAGACCTTTCACATTTATAGCTCAATATAAATTACTCACATGCTTTTTAAAATGTTATCTTAAAAACAAAGAAACCCCACATATCTCTCGGTTTCCTAAGATGAGTCTGTCCGAGCTACACAGTTAAAGCCAGCCCAGGAAGCACACCCCTCCCTCCAGCCTCTCCCGGAGCCCGCCTGGCCGGCTTTACACACTCGTGCAGAGAAAGCACACACATGAAGCTGTGGCCACAGGCGGACGTCATGCACGATAACCTGCCACGCAGTGACAGAGCCACTGCGGTCACTGCCTGAACCGCAGACACGGGGGGCGAGAATGCAACACATACATTTCTTGCAAATCACACCCTTCTTCCGCTGGAGGATCCCAGAAATGCAGAGCCACCTTCCAGAGCTTGATCTGCTGGTCCCACGATCGTCGACTATACTTCTTGAATTTGTTGGGCGTTTTGGGATGAATGCCAGGCTGTCGAAGGTGCCTACCGGGAGAGAGGGATTATCCTGGCACACACCATCCACATTTGCAGGTGAGCTTAAAGGCACTACCTCTCTGCCTCTGCTTTCCTTCATAATCCATGCCCCAGAATAGGACATCTGCACTTCAATCCTGCCAAGCAGCTGGAACATTCTCTAAAGCTCCCTTTGTATCCTTGTGTGCGTGGGGGGAGGGGAGATGCTGCTTACACAAAACGGGGCAATACTCATATCCTTCTCTAATGAAATCTTTACAATCTGTAACTTGAACTGTACTTTTTCCCATCATGTGTTGTAACAATCTTACATTTACAAGACAGCTATGAGTCCTGAGAAACAAAATGTCATCTAACATTCTAAATTATGAAGACGTTATTTATCTTCACGTCCTTGGTTTCTCAGCCACCAACCCATTCTTCTTTATTTACGTAAGTGCCTGAAAGTCATTAATAATTAATAATACACTTCTTAGCAGAACTAGACCCAGAATCAGATTTAGCACCAAAGCAACTCTTCAGACGGCAATGCCACATGACTTGGCCAGGACATGCTGGCGAAACAAGACTACCTTGGGACCTCTTTAATATAGCGATCGTAGGCGATGGTGTTCTTCCCATAGTTGATCTGCTTCTGTCTCCTCATCAGGACACTCTCATCAGTCTCTAAGTCAGCTGGCAATGCTGACATAGACTCCTTCGAATCCGAACTGAAGAAAATGAAATGAACGGAACAAGCCTCACAATTAAGATCACTACGTAAGAAAACATTTGAACACAATAAAGGAGTATTTGCCCTCTGGATTCCAAACCATATTAACCCCACAACAATCCAGAATATTTGAATATATGGGAATTTAGTACACGATAGATACATGTTTCTAATCAGTGAAGAACAGAAAAACAGTAAATGCTACTGAGACACTTAGCATCTCATGTTCAGTTTTTTCATTAATAAACTACAGGTCTATTAAATTAGAAAAGAAATAATTACACAGCATTTACCTTCCTGATGATGATTTTCTCTCTCTTCCAAAGTCATTTATGAGGAGTTTCCTTTTATATCTGAGAGCAAAGTAAATGTTGCTGTTTTTAAAAAGGTACAGAAATGAACACAAAGCTTTTAGAGCTAAGAGAGCCACAGGGAACAAAGCCTCCCTGAGAGTGCGGTCTGGTAAGTGGATTAAGTAACAGTAGGTGGCTTCTTTTATTTTCAACCTCCCTCAATCACCTTTGGGGCGAAGATAAAGGTTACGTGCCAAGATCATACAAGGTGCTTAAAACAACCAGGTTCTAAGAAAAAAAACTACTGCCCCCAGTTAAGTAGTGACACCCAAACGACACAGAAATTTACATCCCTCTAACCCTTAAGCCTTTAGAAAAAACTAAACATGAGTTGAGATACTAAGCTTTTATTTCTAATACCACGATTACTTATTAATGAGACGTGTGCCCGTTGGGACTGCTCACCTTCTTGGAAAGACGGCACGCCTCCCCCCTCCCCCTCCCTTGTGGATCTCACCGGGCACTTGCCGTCTAGCGCAGCGACCGTCTGTCACAGCGACCGTCTAGCACAGCAACCGTCTGTCACAGCGGCCGTCTAGCACAGCGACCGTCTGTCACAGCGACCGTCTAGCGCAGCGACCGTCTGTCACAGCGACCGTCTAGCGCAGCGACCGTCTAGCACAGCAACCGTCTAGCACAGCGACCGTCTGTCACAGCGGCCGTCTAGCGCAGCAACCGTCTAGCGCAGCTACCGTCTGTCACAGCGACCGTCTAGCACAGCTACCGTCTGTCACAGCGGCCGTCTAGCGCAGCGACCGTCTGTCACAGCGGCCGTCTAGCACAGCGACCGTCTAGCGCAGCGACCGTCTAGCACAGCGACCGTCTGTCACACTGGCCGTCTAGCGCAGCGACCGTCTGTCACAGCAGCCATCTAGCGCAGCGACCGTCTGTCACAGCGACCGTCTAGCGCAGCGACCGTCTGTCACACTGGCCGTCTAGCACAGCGACCGTCTGTCACAGCGACCGTCTAGCGCAGCGACCGTCTGTCACACTGGCCGTCTAGCACAGCGACCGTCTGTCACAGCGACCGTCTAGCGCAGCGACCGTCTGTCACACTGGCCGTCTAGCACAGCGACCGTCTGTCACAGCGACCGTCTAGCGCAGCGACCGTCTGTCACACTGGCCGTCTAGCACAGCGACCGTCTGTCACAGCGACCGTCTAGCGCAGCGACCGTCTGTCACACTGGCCGTCTAGCACAGCGACCGTCTGTCACAGCGACCGTCTAGCGCAGCGACCGTCTGTCACACTGGCTGTCTAGCGCAGCGACCGTCTGTCACACTGGCCGTCTAGCGCAGCGACCGTCTGTCACACTGGCCGTCTAGCACAGCGACCGTCTGTCGCAGCGACCGTCTAGCGCAGCGACCGTCTGTCACAGAGACCGTCTGTCACAGCGGCCGTCTAGCGCAGCGACCGTCTGTCACAGAGACCATCTGTCACAGCGGCCGTCTAGCGCAGCGACCGCCTAGCGCAGCGACCGTCTGTCACAGCGGCCGTCTAGCACACAATGACCGACACCCAGCTCTGCAGAAGTACCTCACCAAAGCAGCACAGCGCCATCTAACGGGGAAACCGTGAACCACTTCTAGCTAGAAGCTCACGCCAGTGTCTAAAAGACGTCACGTATCGCGGTGCCTCCTTCCAAATCTAGAATTCTCAACCTTCCCCAAGTTTGCTGGGGCATCCCAGTGAAGCCTGGATACCAGGAGATAATGAACCACCCCCGAGAACTGCGAAACTAGTCCCTGAAATCATTTTCTGTAGGATTTTATTCTTTCTGGAACCCCAGTTGAAGAGACTGGCTTCAGGTATAACTAAAACCCATTTTCAAAGTTTCAGACCGCTGGTGTGTAGTGTGTGCTAGCCTCCTTGGCATACACTGAGCTGAATTCTTACCTCCCCCGTTCCTGGTGGGAAGTAAGACAGACCACCATCATCAAAAGCTCACATCATTTGGGTCTTATCAAAAGCAGCAGCTTTCCATCAGAAAGGGTGTGATCCACAGAGTGGCCCAAAACAGTGCTCTGGACAAGATCAGGCCTGCTTTGCAAGGTAGGACAATTTTTAGAACGGAACAAAGAGGGGTCCACCAACAGGAAAGTCAAGACAAACAGGGGTCTCCCTACAGCACATAAGAGCTGCAGACAGTCCCCAGCAAGAGGTGACACTGGGGGGTCCAGATACACAAGGACATGATGAGAATTGTTATAACCCTTGTGAGCAGAACACAAAAACTGTATAGACCCAGTCAAACAGCCTACCGTTACAGCTGGGAAAAATCAAGATCTATATAAACACGAGAACTCATTCAAAACACTGAAGCCCACGGCTGTCAGCTCTAGTTCACCCTTCTACCCAGGCATCCTACTCACCCACACACATGCATTCTAATGTCTGAAAGGAATTAAGTGGTCACAACCAACACCCACGTGTGTCCGAGCCTTTCCAAAGAAGGCAGCTCTGGGCTTCCCTGGTGGCACAGTGGTTGAGAGTCCGCCTGCCGACGCAGGGGACACGGGTTCATGCCCCGGTCCGGGAGGATCCCACATACCGCGAAGCGGCTGGGCCCGTGAGCCATGGCCGCTGAGCCTGCGCGTCCGGAGCCTGTGCTCCGCAACGGAAGAGGCCACAGCAGTGAAAGGCCCACGTATCACACACACAAAAAAGAAACAACAAAGAAGGCAGCTCTAAATACCATCGACCACTGCAGAGGGGGAGGAAGCAGTCTGGCCCTGCTTCCCTGCTTACAATAAGGACATATTTTCTCATCAGAATTAAGAATAGACTCTTGGTTCAATATATTTCAATTAATTTCGAGCCACAACATTTTAACTCAACGTTCATTCCCTGGGTTGGATGGCATCTATCAAAGGGAAGAAAGGCCCCAAAATACCAGGGAGAACGTAATCCAGGGGGGTGAGCAGTGGTGAAGGACGCATCATCTGAACTGTAATGAGCTGAGGAAGAGGAAGTGGCTCGGAGTTGAACTTGAATACACAGCTCTGGGTACGACTGCAAGAGGTTCACAGACCCCAAGTCGTGGACCCGTCCCCGTGCGCACTCTGGCATTTCTGAGCTGTTAGCAGCGCCACCTCCCACTTCTGTCACCCTGGAAGGACAGCCCCAAGACACCGGTTCTCCAATTTCAGTGAGCAGACTCATCTGAAAGGCTCAAGCCAGGGCTGGGCCCTACCCAGTTTCCCATCCAGCAGGCCTGGGGTGGGGCCCGAAAACCTGCATTTCCAACAAGTTCCCAGGAGCTGCTGACGTGGCTGGTCTGGGGCCCACCAGACTTTTAAAAACCACCACTCTAAGATATGCCTCAAATTTAACATATAACTTAAAACACCAGAGAGAACATTTCAAACTGGTGTGAAATGCGTACCTCGCGATTTCGTTGTTAACTCTCGTCCTCATTTCATCTTCTTCCACTGCACCTGCCCAGTCTGAGCATCTAGAACGCGGCTTAGGGCCTTCGGGGGTGGTAAAGCTGCAATGAGATGAAAGCACACATTTGAACCATGACACAACTTTCAGTTTCCTTTCAAACTGCATCAGAAAACGTTCTGAGGTTGTTTGGAGGGCGCTAAGAAAACGGGCTCCAGAGAAATCTCTGCTCCATAACTTACGAGCTCAGGCAACTCGTCTGAAGCCTCCTGGGCTCTGTTTGTTAAACTTCTGTGTGCCAGTACAGGGGAAAGGCAGACAGAGTCAACAGTTATCATCGGCACCAAGAAGTGTACCTACCTAGTACAACTTCTTTTATTCCCAAAAAGAGGGTTTTTTTTTTAGGATTTTAAAAAAGATTTCAGCTAATACATTTTTAGAGCTAAGCACAGTGACCAGCACCTGATAAACGTGGCTACTATTTACTTCTAGATGCGCACAATTAATGGTTCAGGATATATCACATCATAATTAAAATGGGGAGGGGATAAAAATGTGCTTCCGAGTTCTTACTGCATTAGGACTTAGTCTACAGGTAAAGGTGCCCCCTAGAGTTGGGTTAAATTTAATCTAGAAGCTCATCTCTATCTAGAGCTCAAGGAAATCTTTAGTCAGGTTCAGGCAATTTGAACTTGATGCCAAGAACGCTGGCAGTTAGAACTGTTGCTGCATCTGCTAGTTAGAGATTAGATGTAAACTTACATTTTTACTTTTCCTCCTCGACCTTCTACTGGCCATCACCGGTATATCAAAAGTGGAAACTAACCTCTACTGCATCAATAAGCGACTTTATACATTCTAGCTGGAAACCCAATGGTGTGCTCTGAAAATGCAACAGCAATAACAAAAAAGTAATCCCTTTACGCAATTATCATTTCTCTCCTTACAATTACTCCACCCATAGAAACTCAAATTGGATCCGCAGAAATAAATTTCCACAGTCTCAGTATGATTGGCAAGGTCTGAAATCAAGTTAATGAACAAATTAAAATGACTCAATGACTGTATGGTAGATACAGAAGAGAACCAAATGGAGGCCTGTCTAGGGTTAGATGTCAACATCCTCACTAGTGTATCAAGAGGTCCAGGTCTGGGTTTCCCGGCCGTGACAGATTGCTGAATTTCTAGAAGGTGCTTACAAACGACCTTTCACTCCATCTCATGTTTTGGTAGCTTGATAAAAACTACCTTGTGTGGAACTAAAATTAATTTCTTAGATTAGGCAAATTATATTCACCAACTCACCCTATCTTAGGACAAGAGTACTTCTGGGAAAAGTGCTCAAGGAGAAAACAAAGCCTATTTTACACAATGAGCTAACGTCCCTCCAAAGGAACCAGTTCTTGCACCCGTGGAGATGTAAGTGGCTCCACTCACCACACACCCCCGTGTACTCCCCGCTGCCACCGCTGGGGGTTGTGGGAATAAAAGCACATGCACAGAACGAATAACAGGGGCTATGTGCCTAGGACAGGGGCATTCC